TAGCATAACTCTGAAGCTGAAAGTAGCAAAACAAAATCCGCTATTAGCAAACTTGTTGCTAAAAGTAGCAGAACAGATGCTGAATCTAAAAAAAGTATTAAAATTATCAAAACAGATGTTAAAGTAACAATTACCAAAACTGTAGCTAAATGAGTAAAAGCACATTAAACCCAAATAAAAGCTTAATGTTGCCGAATGATTGCTGAAAGCTAAAACTGTAGCTCAAATCTGAAAGTAGCATAAGAAAACAACGATAAAAAAAAAAAAAAGAGCCCGTTCGATGAAGCAGTTTGACAAAACAAGTTTTCAAAAGGTGGATGGCACGGTGGCACAGTGAGCAGGTTGTTTGTTCAAATCCCAGCAGGGGGCCTTTCTGGGTGGAGTTTGCATGTTCTCTCCGTGCATGCGTGGGATTTCTCCAGGTACTCCAGTTTCCTCCCACAGACCAAAAACATGCATGTTAGACTGACTGGTAACTCTAAATTGTTTGTTTCTGTGTGTCCCTGTGATGGACTGGAGACCTGTCCAGGTGTCCCTGTGATGGACTTGGACCTTTCCAGGGTGTCCCCCGCCTCTCACATACTGATAGCTGGACATGCACACCGGCGACCCCCGCGATCCAAAAAGGAAGAAGCGGGTAAAGATGATGGATGAAGTATTTAAAGGAACTAATGATGTGTCGATGCATTTTTATGGGGAGTTTATATTTAAAGAAAGACAAATATTAAAAGTGTTAAAACTACAAAAGGAGATTTGCTGACTCGGCGTTCACAATGATAAAAGTCGCACCCCGCATCACTTTGTGACCTGCCATCTTCTCGTTTTGCTCGTTCATAACGAAGTCGTGCCGGTCCTGTCTGGCCACCAAGCGAGCTGTAAGCTAGCGCAGACTCCGCCCACTGTGCTCTCTGCAGAGAGCTGCACGGCAGAGCCACCGCCGGTTTTAACAGCTTCAGGCTCAGGCGGAAAGCTGCTTACGGGGTGTTAAAAAGAAGGTGATTGTAGCATCTCAGCAGTCAGCAAGTCTTCAAACAGAAAGGAAACCAGTGGCTATGATCATCACTGTTTGTTCATCCTGTTAATTGAACGTGCGCTCCGCTGCTCCATGGGAGCTTTATTCTGGTTGACACGAGGGTTTGAATCCAGCGGGAAGGCCCCGTCACTCTGATGGTTTACACTGCGCGGTCCAACTGCTGGAGGGAACAGGCACTGTGTTGGTGTTAGTCCTACAACGCCTCCGCTGAAACGTCTTCTGGGACAACACTGAATCACCAAACTCCAGGACTAAAGGGACACTTTGCACCAATCGGGACGCGATACCACTGAGGATTAACAAACCTGACCAATTCCATCCATCCATCCATCTTCTTCCACTTATCCAGGGTCAGGTTGCCGGGGTAGCAGCCTAAGTAGGGAGGCCCAGACTTCTCTCTCCCCAGCCACTTGGGCCAGCTCCTCCAGGGGAATCCCGAGGTGTTCCCAGGCCAGTCAAGAAACACAGTCCCTCCAGCGTGTCCTGGGTCTTCCTCTGGGTCCCCTTCCGGTGCGATGTGTCCAGAACACCTCACCAGGGAGGCGTCCAGGAGGCATCCTAACCAGATGCCCGAGCCACCTCAACTGGCTCCTCTGTCGTGGTGAAGAGAGAGCTGGCTTTATTAGTAAATGTAAATATGTTGTTAACTTTGAACTCTGAAGAGCGCCTTGATTTTGGTACACAGTTACTCATTGGTCAGTTTGGGTTGTGGTGAAGAAAAACTGCTGAAAGTTCTGAGCAGCTAAAAAAACAGTCACTGAGAGGGAATAGTTTTGGACATAATTTGGTCGACCAGTAATAGTAAAAAGTTTGATTAGTAAGGAGCTGGAATGTCAAGCGTGAGCACCGGAGGACACCACGAGTAGAGACACTAGTGTTATCAGGTACGGATGCACGGTATTTTATTTTTGACCAATATCCCGATATGTTACAACTTATTTGGCCGATAACCAATACCAATACTGATATTCCCCCTCTAGACCTACTTACAGAGACTACATAGTAGGAGTGAATCACCAGCTTTACCACGATACGATATATTGATTTGCTTTCATGACAATACGATTTTTCTCGATATCACAAAGTCTGTCACGATACGATTTCGATTCTATTTGACTCACAAGTCTGCGATCGATATATTGCGATATCAAACGCCCATTTCATTTACTTATAAATAAATTTACAAAAACAATTCTTATATGATTTAACCATTTTATTTCTGGTATTACAGGCACCAGGCATTTAAATAAATAAAAAAATTGTCTTAATTAATGAAAAAAATAAAAATAAATGACCTGTTCTGCCTCGTCTGCCATGTTGCTGAGGCGGCCGCGCACGGGAATGGTGACACAGACGTGCCTTGGGAATTTCAAAATAAAAGTGTATTTTAAAGATGACGATCTGAATCAATGTTTTAGCTTTGCCATGATATAATTGAATCAATCATTTAATCGATATATCGATTTAAATCATTGTATTGTTACACACCTACTACATATCTTTCTCTGCTGTGGGATTAAAACACATTATTCTGAATGGTCTTTGTCAGTTTGGCCTGCTACCAAATGTAGACGCTAAAAATGGGGCTGAAAATAGTTGTTTTAATGGAATGGCCGATGTCAGATATTTAACTTTATCACTAATATCGGTCGATACCGATACCATGCCGATAATATCGTGCTTCCCTGTTATCAGGCAGTTGCCCGAGAGCCAGTCAAAAACAGTACAGTGTTTATCCCTAGGTCACTTGCCTTGGCAGGGCACTCATCTCTTCTGTGATTTTGATTTGTGATAACAATTAAATGATTTGATTCCTGGTTCTTCTTTGACGTCATGTTGGCCTGCCGGTCGGGGGCAGCTGAAGGACCCACGTCAGTGTTCAGAGTGTCCCCTGATCTGATGTGCTCTCCTGTCAGCTGATGCTTATATTCCATGTAAGGATGGTTTAAAACGCCCCCTCAGTGTGTTTGATGCATCTCTGGATGCTTTGCTCTAACTTTGTGGACCCATGTGCATGAGCCGTGACGCCTCAGTAGGATGTGCACTTTCATCTCCTCTAAGCTTCATTCACTATGAGAACGTCCCAGTTTGTCAGATTCGGGGGTTGTTTTCTCTGAGTGCTATACTGTTAACCTATTTGAATTTCTTCCATCTGCGGCGGGTTACGCAACGTTTCTTTCCCTGATAAGCTCTGATCTGCTTCATACGGAGCCACGAGGATCATCCAACTGTGCGTAATCACTTCTGTGTCACTGATTTATTCGCCAGCGGGTTTACACATTCATTGTCACGTCGAGTTGTCGAAGTGAGGATTTGAAGGCTGGTGTTCTCAGGAGGCAGCAGGACGATGAAGGGAAATGAGACTTTAAACAAGACACGGAGCACAAACTAACGAAGAGGAGAATAACAACAGAAACCAGGTTTAACATGAACGGAGGGAACATAATTAGGGATGAATGATGTGAGAAGCTGCAAACTGAAGGTCAGCTCGAGCAGTCCAGAAGTCCTCGCTTATCGACTTCTTCAATTCAATTCAAAAATACTTTATTAATCCCAAAGGGAAATTATTTGTTGTTGTAACTCATTATCCTCATTCCATTAAGATGTTATAGATACTGATGCTGTAGACAGGAAGGATCTCTTGTAAAGGTCCATCCCACAGTGGATCCTAAGAAACTGGCTGCAGATGCCGTCCGATCCGTCCACCCAGACTCTGATGGCCTCTCGGTTCCTCCGGGCTGTAGGACCGCCCAAATGCCGAGTAGAACTCCTCCCAGAGCGATGGCCACTCCTCCCAGCAGTCTGCCGAGCTCCTCGTCGCTGTGGACAGACAACTGTAGGTGCCGAGGGACGATCCTGTCCTTCCACTGTCATGAGCCGTGTTTCCTTCTAGTTCCAGGATCTCAGTGTTCAGGCACTCGAGCACAGCTGGCAGGTAGATGAGAATGCATCCACAGAACATCCTTTCAACTCATTTGAGATTTGGGGCTGTAGTTGAGATATTAGTTGAGCTTTTGAGATGTTAATCAGCTGCTGTTGGTTGTAGAAAACTGCCTTGTTGCCATGGTTACGCATCATAACAAATGTCCAAAACTAAAAAAAACACTACAAAAAAAACAAAACTTAAAACTTATTTTCCACAACCTCCTTTAAAAACACGAGATTAAGGAATTATTGTTAAACTATTGTTAAACAGCTCAACAGGAAAAGACTGAACTAAATCAAACAAATATCACATAGAGCAGTGGTTCCCAACTCTGGTCCTTGAGGAACACCACCCTGCATGGTTTAGGGGTTTCTCTGCTCCATCACACCTGATTCAGTGATGTAATGACTTCCCCAAGTTCTACAGAAGCCTGTTAATCACCCATTCATTCAAACCAGGTGTGTCAAAGCAGGAAAACAACTAAAACATGCAGGATGGTGTTCCTCAAGGACCATGGTTGGGAACCATTAACATTATGGCACATAATATGCCCGTCGACAAACCATTATACAGAAAAACAGTGGTGATACATGCATGTATCAAGTTAAATTATCTTTGATTAGAAGATGGCCTGGAAGAGCAATGACCTTGCTTTGTGACCATGTAGCAGGGATGATAAGATGGAGAGTAATCCGTAATCTGTGCGTCTTTTAACGGTCGTATAAAAACAACAACGCTGCAGCAGCACCTGGAACAAACCAGGCTAACTGAAGAAAAGCACGAACCAAACGCAGGACAGGAGCCAAAACCAGAGGTTAACCCAATCTTTGATGAATGCATGTTGCCCACCACCTTGCATGTTTTAAATACATCTGTTAGTGCTCAGAGCATGAGATGGGGATTACTCTCAGCTACTACCACACCCATTTTAGCTGGATATCTGTTATAATGTGACTATACTGCGCCCACCATCATGGTGGGGGGTGATAATAATCCGGAGCACGCACGGTGAAATTAAATGTCTGTTCTCCTTCTTTGTAGGACTTCGGTGTTCTTCCTCCCCCCCCCTGGCCTGACGGACCCACCAGCTCCTCCTCATCATGAACTACCTTCGCCGGCGCTTGTCAGACAGCAGCTTTGTGGCTAACCTCCCCAACGGCTACATGATGGATCTGCAGAGGCCGGCCCCCTCAGGCTCCTCCACCTCCTCCCCCGCCTCCCCGGCCACAGAGAGGCGTCAGCCCCCGAGCGTCCCCACCCAGAGCCAGAGTTCTGGTTCTGGTTCTGGCAGCTTCCTCAGCTCCTTCTCCAGCGTGGTAAAGAGCGCGCAGGTGGCTCAGAACGTGGCCGCAGCTGCACACGCTAAATCAGCCGCAGCTTCAGCAGCCGAAGGCTCCCCCGCTGGAGGAACTCAGCCGAGCAAACCTGCGATCCGGAAACCCAAGATCCTGCTGGTGGTCGACGACCAGCACACAGACTGGTGAGGCCCAGATTTGAACCCGACACTCTTAAATCTGATCCGTTTGAGTTTGGTACATGTTCACCCAACGATCCTGTCGCTGCCGATCAGCAGAACTCCCAGTTCCCAAAAACAGAAGTGTCCAAACAAAGAATGGTGTCAAGTGTTATAGCCCGCCGTCATGAACGGTGGGAAATCATGTAGTCTCCTTTGTCTGTGTGGGCGTGTCTCTGTTAGCCAAATATCTCGTGAACCACTAGATGGATTTCAACTCTCAGGCGTTAATCATTGAAAGCACATCTGTGCTTCTTGGCATCTGGAATCGATCCAATTCAAGATGGCTGCCTTGGTTAATTGGCGTTAGCAAACGGAACTGGCCGTCTGTAAACTGAGCTAACGGTTAGTGTGGTTGTAGCTGAGAGTCATCCCCGACACACGTCCTGAAAGCAGCTGTGCATTCCATCAAGAAACGCTGAGCTTGTAATTAAACCAGAGTCACGTTCTAGTTTTAGGACTTCCTGTTTGTGATGATTATGTTCGTTTTAAACTTCATGCCAGAGCCCTTGGTCGTCATGGTAACACCACCAAAACAACTTTACGTTCAGACGGCGGAACAAGGAAACGGATTGAGATGAAACGAGGAGGGATGGGTTTATCTTCACTGTTTACCTCCACAGGATGGACTTCTTGTTTCCCAGGCTGGAGCCGACAAACATCAGCTGCTTCACGTCGTCCTCCTGAACGAATAAACGTTACTCTGCTTTTATTCTGCTTTTATTCTGTTTGTTACTGGATTGACTCAGATTAGGACGTCGGCGCTCTCTACTCTTCATCTCCACGGATTATTTCTCAAACAAGACTTTACTTATAGGCGACGCAAGATGGTCCTGAGGTTGAAGAAGACATTATTTTTGAGTCTGAGCCCTCGGAGCACGTGTTGGGAATGACTCTCGGCTACTACCGTTCCAAGTTTTAGCTCAGTGTTTTTGAAACTCTCTGTTAACGTTTGAAAACTGTGGCTAATAGCTAAAATCATCCAAACAGTAGCTAAAAGCTCAAACCAATAAATATGTAGCCCACAGCCAAAATCAACACAACAATCTTAAAACTAAAATTAACTAAACATTATGTTAAAGCTAAAACAAACAAAAAAGACTGTAATAAAAGCTAAAAATAAACTAAGAATCTAAAAGCTAAATCAACTAAACAGTAGCTTAAAGCAAAAATCGGCAAACCAGAAGCTAAAATCAACAAAACAGATGTTGCAAGCTAAAATAACGAAAACAGTAGCTAAAAGCTAAACTGTTGGTGAAGAGCTTCATCTGTAATTATGATTAGCAAAACAGTAGCTAAAAGCTGAAATTAGCAAAATTGCAGCAAAGACTCAAATTAACAAAACTGTAGGTGAAAACTAAATCCAGCAAAATTGTAGCTAAGAGCTAAAACTAACCGGAGTAGCCAAAAGCTAAAATTCATAAAACGGTAGCTAGTAGTTCAAATGTACAAAGCAGTAGCTAACAGCTAAAATCAACAATTTTATAACTTACAGCTTAAATCAAAACAGTTGCTAAAAGCAACAATAAGGAAGCATTATCTAAAAGCTCAAATAAACCAAACATAATCTAAAAGCTAAAATTAAAATTACAGTAGTTTACAGCTCAAATCAACAAAACAGAAGCTAAATGTCATAATTAACAAAGCAATATCGAAAAGCTAAAACATGCAAAACAGTGAATAAATGCTAAACTAAACAACACAAGCTAAAATCAACAAACTATAGCTAAAATCAACAAAAAGCAAATAATAGCAAAATAAACAAAACAATCTAAAACCAACAAAACAGTAAATAAAAGCTAAAATAATCAAGACAGCAGCTAAAGCCAGAATTAATAAAATACCTGCTAAGACCTTAACTCACCAAAACAGCAACTTAGAGCTAAAACCAAAAAGAAGAGCTAAAATGTGTAAACCTGTAGCTGAAAGTTAAATTAGCAAAAGTTGCTAAAACTGAACACAGAAAAAAAAAAACATCGGCCCATTTTTGACAGCAGGAGATGAAAATTGACTTGTTCAATAAATCTTATAATTTTCTAGTGTATTTATTAGTTTCAGTTATTTATTTATTGTTTTCTCCCTGAAGAACAAGACAACATGGAGTCTTATTTTGCAAATGAGTCGTCATCTGCGTTCTCTCATGCTCCTTTCATTTATTACACATGAAACTTTTAGACCAGTTTCCTGACTGAGTGTACATCTGTCCACCAGCAGGTGGCGCTGTAGTTCAGTCCACGGCTTGCAGAGTGTTTTGAGGGAAAGTGAAGAAGTTTAGATTTTCAGCCAGCAGATGGAGTCAAACCTTCACTTCTGGAGTTGACTGAAACATCTGCTGGCAGGGAATCGAACACTCGCAGTGTGAGCTGCTAATAACACTAGGGTTCATGTATTTATTGGAATTTTTAAAAAAAGGAAAATTCTGCTCACCAGTGGGTCTTAGTGCTTCCCAACTTTCATTCACAAGCACAAAGCAAAAGGTGAGTGATAATGTATGTCTGTTAGCAAAATATCTCATGAACCTTTTAAATGAAACATGTCAGTCTAGAGCTGATTACATTTTAGAACCCAATACAAGATGGCCGCCACAACTAATGAATAAAGGGCGGTAGCTGAGAGTGATCCTCAACATGAACCCAGAGCTCAAACGGAGTTCAACATCATTTTAATCAAGTTTCTGACCTGAACATCGCTCCCCTGCTCCCCGAGGCTGCACCTCCTCCTGGTCATTCCAGTAGGGAGGTATGAGTCGAGGCTGCACCTCCTCCTGGTCATTCCAGGAGG